GGGAACCTTTGATGTATATTTGATATATATATCTTGAAATTCAATTGAGGATTGTAGTGAACGACTGAGTCCCGGCGAGAGCTGGGCAGGCGGCCCGCCGAACCCTCTGGTTCGCCTCAGGGGAAGGTGGGGCTGTGACACGCCCTCCCTTCAACCCAAGACCTATTCCACCCTCCAACTCAAATTACCACTATCAACAAACCAGTGACACCCAAAATCTAACCCCATACCGAACCTTCACCAATCTAGACCGGCCCGTTGACCAATTGTATGAGCAATTGAAAGCTGTTGGGAAAATTGGCACTATATCTATTAAAACCTATTCCAAAGGATTTCCCATTGGTTACGATCCTCAATCATTTTGTGCCTACCATTCAGGAGCCCCTGGACATTCAACTGCCAATTGCTGGGCGCTTAAGTATAAAATTCAAGACATGATTGAATCCGGAGACATAGTCCTGAGGAGGAGGGACGAACAAGGTCCAAACGTTAGCAAAAATCCTCTTCCTACACACAAGGACACCGTGGGAGTTATTACTATTAATGAAGAGATTGAGGAGCCTACACAATTCATTTGGACGAAGCCGAGATAATGGGAGTCATCGGAGAACCATTCATACTAGAGGAGAAAGCCTATGAAATCAAGGAAAATACCAATCCGTTTATTTTGAAAATGATACCTTTCGAATGTGAGCCTTCAGAGCTGGTGGTACTTGAATTGCCTGAGCAACCTCCTATTCTTAATCTACAAGAGGTCCCATGGAATTATAGCGAGCCCACGCTATTAATTGGAGGAGAAAAGGTGCCCAGAAAGGAAGTGGACGCCATTACTAGATCTGGAAGAATCATAGGGGAACCCGCAGTTGATGAGTCCTCAAAAGTGAAAGAAAATGCTATTCCGACAAAACCAACTGTGACTGATAAAGAGGCCTTCAATTTCCTTAAGATGCTGAAGAAAAGTGAGTATAAGGTGGTCGAGCAATTGGACAAGTTGCCCGCTCAAATTTCTATATTGAATTTGCTTCTAACCTCGGAACTTCATCGAGAAGCTTTACTCAAGGTCCTAACTGAGGCTCAAGTGCCTAAGAATATTCCTGTGGATAAATTCACTCAGGTAGTCAAACATGTTTTGGCTTCAAATCAAATTCTTTTTCTGATGAAGATTTGACTTCGGATGGGATTGGACACAATAAAGCATTGTATATCTCAGTTCGTTGTAATGGGAAGTTATTGCCAAGGGTCTTGATAGACAATGGATCTGCTCTTAATATCTGTCCTTGGAACACTTTGGTTAAGTTGGAATTTCAGGAAGCTAAACTTCGGCCATCTGGCATTGTGGTGAGAGGATTTGATGGCACAAAAAGGGAATCAATGGGGGAAGTGGATTTGGTGCTGGAAATCGGACCTGCCCAGTTTCAAGTTATGTGCCAAGTCATGGACTTCTCAAGTGTTTATAATGTTCTTCTCGGACGGCCTTGGATTCATACTTCAGGCGCTATACCTTCTTCACTCCATCAAATGTTGAGATTTGTGGTGAATGGCCAGTTGATTACGATATTTGCTGAGGAAGATTGCACTATGATCATCAATCCTGCATCGGAAGATGATGGCGACAGAAAAGCTCTGGTTTCCCCTCACCATGTAGCTGACATTGTTTCGGTGGGTAGGGCATCCAAGGACAAGGCGGCAGTGGAAATGAATTTACCTGAAGCCAGTGTTATGATGGCCAAAGAGCTGATTCGAGGAGGGTATGAAATAGGCAAGGGTCTTGGGCGCAACCTACAAGGGGTCTTGGAGCCAATAGAACTTCAAGGAAAGAAGGATACCTTTGGATTAGGGTTTCAACCTACTGCCAGAGATAAGAAAGAAATGTCGGATCGCAAAAGGGCAGAGAAGGAAGGGAGGCAGCTTATCATGAATATCCCACCATTGTATTGTACTTTTCCTTACCCATCAGAGGTGATTAGATCTGAAGTAGACCCAATCGAGGAAGTGGAGTTGGATTATCTGAGCTATTTGTGGGGGTTATTTCTGAAGGGGAGCCATTGGAGGACCCAGGATTTCCAGAGGTGCCTATTGAAGCAATGAAGAACTGGACCAGTGATCTCCTTCCCTCCTGCAGGGAATTTCGGTAAATTAGAGGATTGCCTTTGGTCGACATGAGACAAATCGTTCATACTACTTATCTTTTGTCTTTCAAGTTTGTAAATAGTTTTTAATCAAATGTTTTTCAATGCAAGTCCTACGTTAAATTTCTTGTTAATTAGCATGTCATGATGTTATCCTTTACTTTGAATTTCAATGAAATGCACAGTGTTTATTGTCCAAATTGTTTTAACTTACTTACTATCGTATTTATTTTATTCTTTTTCAGATGGCCAAAAATAAAACACATTGACCCTTTGGATATCACTATTCTGGAATTTGATGATTGTGGTCTCGATATCCCTCACGAATTCGAAATTTTGGAATCCGAAATTCAAGACGAGAGCGATAACGAGGAAAAATCTGAGTCTTTATTAAAGGATTTTGAACAGTATGAGGAGAAATCCAAACCGAACTTAGAAGAAACAGAAGTTGTTAATATTGGCACTGAAATTGAGGTTAAGGAGATAAAAATTAGCATTCATTTGAATAAGAAACAGAGAAAAGAAATGATTGAGTTTTTTACCATGTTTCAAGATGTGTTTGCCTGGTCCTATAATGATATGCCAGGAATTTCAACAGATATAGTGGTCCATCGATTGCCAACTGATCCGAGTTTTCCACCAGTAAAACAAAAATCTAGCAAGTTTAAGCCAGACATGAGCCTCAAAATTAAGGAGCAAATCGAGAAGCAGCTCAATGCTAGAATCATTATGGTGTCTCATTATCCCATTTGGCTTTCAAACCCTGTACCTGTTCCAAAGAAAAGTGGAGAAGTGCGAGTCTGTGTCGATTACAGGGATCTTAATAAAGCCAGCCCGAAAGATGATTTTCCGTTGCCGAACATTCATATTCTTCTGGATAATATCGCCGGGCATGAGATTGAATCATTTGCTGACTGTTTCGCTGGATATCACCAGATTTTAATGGCAGAGGAAGATAGGGAGAAAATTGCTTTTATCACGCCGTGGGGGACTTTTTGCTACCGGGTAATGCCGTTTGGATTGAAGAATGCCGGAGCCACCTATCAAAGGACCATGACCACCCTGTTCCATGATATGATTCATAAGGAGATGGAGGTTTATGTGGACGACATCATCATCAAATCCAAGAGAGCAGAGGATCATCTGATTGATTTGGAAAGGTTATTCGAAAGATTGAGAAGATATGATTTGAAACTAAACCCCGCAAAGTGTGCATTTGGGGCCCCTGCCGGAAAGTTATTGGGCTTCATTGTCAGTAAGAAGGGTATCGAGATAGATCCGGCAAAAATTAAAGCCATTCGTGAAATGCCAGTACCAAGAACCCAAAAGGACGTAAAGAGTTTTTTAGGGAAGATTAACTTTATCGGGAGATTCATCGCCCAGTTGACCCATACGTGTGAGCCTTTGTTCAAATTATTGAAGAAAAATGTACCATTGCGATGGAGTGGAGAATGCCAGCAGACGTTTGATAAGATCAAGAACTATTTATTACACCCTCCAGTTTTAGTGCCACCCAAACCCGGACGACCTTTGATCATGTATCTATCAGTGTTGGACGAAGCTATGGGATGTGTATTGGGACAACACGACGAATCGGGGAAGAGGGAGCAAGCCATCTATTACCTCAGTAAGAAGTTCACTGCGTATGAAGCCAACTATTCTTTTCTAGAGAGGAGTTGCTGTGCTTTAGCTTGGGCCGCACAAAAGTTGAGGCATTACTTGCTCAGTCATACTACTTACCTCATTTCCCGCTCCAACCCTTTGAAATATCTGTTGGGAAAGCCTATGCCGACAGGACGTATGGCAAAATGACAGATGATTCTTTCGGAGTTTGACATTATTTTTACCACGCAGAAGGCTATCAAGGGCCAGGCTGTGGCCGATCATTTGGCTGAAAATTCGCTGAAAGATGATTATCAACCGCTTCACACTTATTTTCCGGATGAGGAGGCCCTGTTCGTGGGTATAGCAGAAGATATGAATGATCAATGCCCGGAGTGGAGGCTGTTCTTTGACGGTGCATCAAATTCCTTCGGGGCCGGTATTGGAGCTGTTCTAGTATCGCCTGAAGGAAAGCATTACCCTGGTTCGGCCGAACTCTGATTTTTCTGTACTAACAATATGGCTGAATATGAAGCTTGCATTTTTGGGTTAAAGATGGCGTTAGAAATGGAGATTAAGGATTTACTAGTGTTCAGCGATTCAGATTTGCTTGTACATTAGACTCTCAAGGAGTGGATCACTCGGGATTCAAAGATCTTGCCTTATCATTGCAACTTATTGGAGTTAGCAAATAAATTTAGGAGTTTGGAGTTTCGGCATATTCCCCATGTCAGAAATGTCTTCGCCGATGCATTGGCCACTTTATCTTCAATGATTCAACATCCAGATGAGTTGGTAATTGACCATATCCAGATTCATCTACAAGAAAAACCTGCTCACTGCCTAGTTGTGGAAAAGTCTTCCGATCGCCGTCCCTGGTACCACGATATCAAGGAATTTCTCAAAATAGGGTCCTATCCCCCTGGGGCCGATACAACTACTAAAGGCTTCTTGCGCAGATTGTCTTCCAAATTTTTCCTAAACGGAGAGGTTGTATACAAGAGGACGTCAGATTTGGGCCTTCTAAGGTGTGTTGATGAAGACGAAGCAGAATACCTGATGAAAGAAGTACATAGTGGAGTGTGCAGATCACATATGAATGGCCATTTATTAGCAAAGAAGATCATGCGGATCGGATATTTTTGGCTTACTATGGAGCATGATTGTGTAGTTTTTGTCAGAAAATGCGTAAAGTGTCAATTGCATGGAGATGTTATGCGCACTCCCCCTACAGAATTACACAGTATGACTGCTCCCTGACCATGTTCGATGTGGGGTATGGATGTAATCGGAGCAATTGACTCTCCCGCTTCAAATGGGCACCGGTTTATTCTGGTGGCAATTGAATACTTCACAAAGTGGGTCGAGGCTGAATCTTATAAGCATGTGACTAAAAAGGTGGTGACGGACTTTCTAAGGAAGCACATCATTTGTCGTTTTGGAATACCAGAGACATTAATCACTGACAATGCCAAAAATCTCAACAATGATATGGTAGATGGATTATGTGAACAATTCAAAATCAGGTATCGGAACTCCTCTATTTACAGACCACAGATGAATGGAGCTGTTGAGGCCGCGAATAAGAACTTGAAGAAGATAATTCTTAAGATGATTGAAAGACACCGTGATTGGCACGAGAAACTCCCTTACGCATTAATAGCATATAGAACTGCTATTCGGACCTCTACTGGGGCAACTCCCTACAGCCTCATGTATGGGATGGAAGCAGTGTTGCCAGCCGAGGTCGAAATCCCTTCATTGCGCATTTTAATGGAGGCCAAGTTAGATGAGGCTGATTGGATCAAGCAACGTCATGAGCAGCTATCTTTAATTGATGAAAAGAGAGTAAATGCCATTTGTCATGGTCAATGCTATCAAAAAAGGGTAGCCCGTGCTTACAATAAGAAGGTCAGACCACGGATATTCACAGAGGGAGATAAAGTGTTGAAACACATTTTGCCAGTACAAGAGGAAGCTAAGGGGAAATTTGCACCGAATTGGCAAGGCCCTTTTAGTGTCCAGAAAGTTTTACCCGGGGGAGCGCTCATTCTCGCAGAAATGGATAGGCAAGTGTTCCCTCAACCAATCAATTCGGATATGTGTAAGAAATTTTTCAAATGATAAATGGAATTTTCCTTTTAAGGTTGATGTAAAGAATGGAATGAAAAGTCAGGCCTTCTTCTTTTTCAATCAAACATTCTACCCCTAATTATCCCTTTTGAGCCTTCAGAGCAAATTATTTCATTTGGCAACCCCTGAGAATTGCACACCCCACACTGGGGCAAAAAAAAAAAAAGGTAAAAGTGACAGAGAAGCAAAGTGAAGGAAATTAAAGGAAAATCTCAATTGAGAATAAACTGGGGCAATTATTAGTTGAGTTAATTTGAAAATGCGATCTCAGGAAATCTAAACATTCGTAAATTCGCCTTCAAGCCTCAACCTTTTCCAAGCACCCCACCAGACCCTATTACAAAAACCAAAAGTCCTGACTTCTGTTCTCTATATTGCCTTCTTAGGATAATTCCTAATCAAGTGGCACATGAAGTCAAAAACACCTTCACCCGTTTTGCAAGGGAGGAATTGTTATACTGATGCCATTGTTTTTCAAAACGCATTTCTGAATTAGTGCGGGCGGCAGACAAGATTTGTTCTTCAGGTGAAAACCCGTAAGGGCGCCTAAAAAAAATGATGATGAAAAGAAGAAAAGAAAAAAGAAAAGAAATGTGGAAAGAAGGAAAAAGAAAAGAAAAGAAAAATAAAATTAAAAGGACGGAGGCAACCTTAGTGAAAACCCGAAAGAGCGCTGAGGTAAGGGTTTTACAAACAGGGGTGAGTTTGGATCTGAAAAGCTGGTGACTTAGTTCGTTGGAAATTCTCCTTACATTGTGGTTCTATTTGTCAAGCATTGAACTTCCGAAGATTGATATCCAAAGGGTCAAAAGTGACATTTAGTTCGAGAACTCAAATGTTCGATCTATCAAACACAAGCTTTTGAATTTGAGTATATAAGTTTATTTATTTGAAATGATTTTTCATTCAATAAAAGGGACGGTTGTGTTGCTATTATTAGATTTTTCATCATTATATGCAATTAGAATGTTATTCATGTGTTTCATGGTCCCATTGGTTTTTCTCGTTTTATCAACGTCAATCCCTATAATGTATCGAAGGTAAATGGATACTAAATGACATGTTGGGTTAAGTATGAGAAATTATGGAAGTTTGATATTGTTTGCAAGGCAAGGTTGGAGTACTCACTACGTCAACAAAGAGGTCCAAAATACTCATGTTTACACATCTCTTGAAGAAAGGGTTGATCGAATGGTGGCAGTGTTATCTATCCTTATTTCTTTTCTTGCAGGTCTGACAGTTCAATCGCATTACACTGGGGCAATTTTTAGAAGAAATTGTTTGTCTCTCCTTTTGAAACTCTACAAAAGTCTTGCACAAAATTAACCAATTGAAGGCAGGCTCGGGTGTTGATCCCACTGACCAATTGACCAATTAAAGGCAGGCTCGGGTGTTCATCCCACTGACCAATTGACCGAATGAAGGGTCGGGTGTTCATCCCACTGACCAATTGACCGAATGAAGGCAGGCTCGGGTATGGATCCCACTGACCAATTGAAGGCAGGCTCGGGTGTTGATCCCACTGACCAATTGACCAATTGAAGGCAGGCTCGGGTGTTCATCCCACTGACCTATTGACCGAATGAAGGCAGGCTCGGGTATGGATCCCACTGACCAATTGAAAGCAGGCTCGGGTGTTGATTCCACTGACCAAAAGGAAAGCAAGCCCGGGTACCTATCCCATTGACCGATGTCATGGCAAATCTAGGTTTTATCCCGCTGACTTTCTCATGTTTTAATAACACAGGTGAGTATTTGGTGTCTACGTCTTTGTCTCAAGTTTCTCCGAAACTCAGACAAAGAGGAGCAAACTGTAGACACCAAATTTTTAAATAATTTTATTCTTTTTTTATTTTTGTTTTAGTGATAATTCTTATCTATTTTTATTTGTTAATTTCACGATTTTGGTTTTAGACTTTTAGCATTTGTATAGCATTTTAGATTATTATTATCTATTGTTTTATTTTAGTTTTTATTTTGTATTCGTTTTTGCCCTTTTAGCTCTTTATTTTTTTTTTTTTTATTATTATTGTAAGACTTTTTTAGCATAAAATCTGTCAAAAGAAAATTATTCACAAAAAAAAATATATGTTTTATTTCCTTTTACTGTTTATTAATTGAAAAAAGGAAAATCATCAAACACAAAAAATTTTTAGCATTTTATTTATTCCTGGTTTTTGCTCATTTTATTCGATTTTACTTAAAATACTATTTTTGTTTATGCTATTTTCATTTTTATTTGTCAAAAAAAAAAGAAACCAAGCTCACGCACTGTGAGCTACACACGATCCAAGCCCTTCCTCAGTTTCATATCAGAAACCAAATACGCGGAAGTACATAAAATGTGCAGCTCGGTTCCATTTTCTTTTCCACCATTTTTTCCACTGTTTTTCCTTCACCATTGGATCGTGCTAATCCCTGCCCATCTGGCTTTCATCTAAGAGCTAGGAAATATCTAGGAGGAAAAGAATCCAAGGGCCCGTGAGGTAAGTATCAGTAAGGAGACTCTATCGGAGCCCTTGAACGGAGGGTTTTGGGAGTTTGGTTTACTATAAAAGGTTAGCAAAATGGAACCGAAAGAGGAGGAGAATCTGGGGGTGGCGGCTAGGTTTTCTGTAAAAAAAGAAGAAAGAAGAAAGAGAGCTAAGGATAGTTAGGGGGCTGGAGAAAAAAGAACCGAGAGAGAGGCTTTTGACGGCTGGTGGAGTGAGGAAATTAGAAGAGAGGACGGACGAGGAGAATGAAAGTGACGGTTGGAAATCTGGTGAAGGTTGAGGGAGGGTAGAGTAGCGGAGAAAGTGAGGAGCTTTCGGTGAAGGAAAAAGCAAAAAAACTGGAAAAAGGGAGCCGAGGGAGAATCTGGAAAACAAAAGAAAGCAAGAGGGATTGAGTAAGCTAGGCTCTGGGTAGAGAAAGGGAGAGTTTCCAGGCTGAAGAAAGTAGCTACGGGCTAGGTTGGGAAAAGGGGTTTCGGCTAGAAACCAGAAAAGAAAAGGAGGGATCTTCGACTAGCGGCATCAGCGCTGGAAGCCTCTGCAATTCAGTTCGTGGATTTGGTTTTCAGAAACGTTCGATTTCTCGGGGTCTCTTTTGTTCATTCAGCAGTCTAAGCACTCTCAGGTAATCATGGGCTTTTCTCAATTTGGGTTCGACATAATTTTCGTAGAGATCTGAACCCTTTATGCACGATGTTCTTCTTTTCTTAAGTTCTGCCGATACTTGATGACGATGACTGTGATTATTGCTTGGTGATGTCGTTATGTTGTTGATAAGCTTGGTGGCAATATCTTTCGGTCATTTGATGTGAATCTGAACTAAGATTTCAATTAAAAAGTCATAAGCAGATAGTGTTTCCCACATGTGTAATTTGATAAACTAAAAATCACATCTTGGGTCTTTTGGTGGGATTCCTGTCTGATATGGTTGTTAATTTGGCTGCATGAGGTTGCTGAGGTTTCTGGAATGGCTTGAATTTTTTTTGGGTTTTGCTTGTCGGTATTCCACGTCTGTGTTTGCTGCGATTTAAAGCAGCAATGGGCGGCATAACAGCAGGCCACAGCATGGCATTTGTTCAATGCCTGTTGCTGCATTTTGTTCGACATATTAGCTAAAGTTTTGTGTTATAGGCAGTAGCTTTAAGTGTAGTTTTCATTCTAAGTGTGTAGCCTCTCATTTCGAGTTCAGTGTTTGATAATGAGCAGGCTTGTAATGTTGAGATAATTTTTGCCGGCAAAAGTTTTAACTAGAAACTTAGAAGGAACTTGTGGTTTTGATGTTTTCCTTATTTTTCTATCCTGCTATACTTTTGGGTTGGGGTTCATTTTGATTCAAGTTGAAGATGCATGCCTTTGGTTTGTGATCTAGATTCGGTCATCAACCTCATTAGAATGATTGGATTTGGTGCATAAATTACTTTGCTCATAACAAAATGGATAATGCTGATTTTCTGTGTTTGATTAAGAAACCGAGGAAGTTCTAGAAAGTTTTTCCAGATTTGCATGCATGACAGAGCATAAGAATGAGAAGTTTGATATGATTTTGAGTTTGGTTTTTTATTTGAGATGGATTGTGTCTGTGTTTTTTGATAAAAAATGATGCTTTGTTGTTCATGACAGCAATAGCAGAAAATTTTTCAGATTTACATGTTCCTATTCTAAATTTTGCTTTTCTTTCTTGGTTTGTTTGAATGTTGAGTCCCGTGAGTTCGTTGTTTGGGATCAAAGCTTTGATGTTGGGTCGGGATATGAGCTGGGTTTTGATGGAAAGATTGTGTTAGAATGAACACTACAATTGTAGCAAAAATGTGTTTGAAAAATTGCAGAAACCAAGCACCTGTGGGGAAATTCTTGTTCAATGCACCTGAGTTTGTAATCAGATTTTCACCTTGAGATCTTTCTTTTGTATGTTAATATTACGCCTTAATGATGAGTTGAGGTTTGGAGGGGTTTTGGCGGACGAACAATAAGCTTGGTTCAAATCTTTGTATGGAAACATTCGCACAAGAACGAGCTGCAATTTTGCAGCAGAGACTAGCGAAGAGAATTGCAGATGAATGTTTCTTTCGTTGCATGCATGCAAAAGGGTTTTCATAATATGCATTTTAACCCTTTGAGTTTCATTTAATGCTTCTATGGCCCATAAGATTGAAAAGATTAATCAATTGGATCCCTTTTACATGATAGTTTGCCTTGATATGTTTTCATGTGAATTGCGGATAGATTTCAATGGATTTTTTTTAGGATGAAATAATGAAAGTTTAATAATTTGGAAGAATTTATATTCTTGGTTTCCATTTGATTTAAATTTTCTTAGCTAATTTTGTCGTTTAATCCTAATAAATAATTTTCCATTCTTCTTTTGTGATTTTAGCATTTGATTGTGACGGATTCCACCTTAAACCATTAAATTTAGTATTCCATTTTAGACTCTTGAAACTTTTTATTTGGGACCGTGTTTGCTTACACATGGATGGTTTATTCCGTGTTTAATTTGCATTTCGTGTTTAATTTTCACTTTTGTGTTTAATTTTTGTTTCATGTAATTAATTGTTAATTAAAGTGATGCCTTGACCCTTTTCTTTATTTTGGTGGGTAAATAAGTAAATTCATTTCATTAGGACACCAACTCAAGGGAGGTACACTCTATCCCTTATTTTTACTTTATTTGACCCTATGTGTACTTATGTGATTTATGTGTTTAATTGCATGCCTTTGGGAATGTTTTTATTTTATTTATTTATTCGCTTTAGTCGTCTTAAGTTTCGCATATTTATTCTAGCTTCAATTTGGCGATTTAAAAGGCATTTAAATGCCAAGTTGTAATAGTTAGGTTTATTTTTTTATTTATTTTCATTTCCCCCGTTAGATTGTAGTAGGCTTCCCCCGAATGTAATAGTTAGGGCTTTATTTGCTTTATTTGCCTTATGTGTGTTTTTGCATGCTTATGTGCTATGTGTTACCGCTTTCTTAGGGTCTTGTATCTAGATATCATGCTTATGTGTTACATGCAATACGTGATTTATGTGTTTACATGCTTTTATTAGGTTTTACATGATTTATTTGGTTATAATAAATGCGTGTCGTCACCACACTAGTCCAACGCTAGTTGTGGCCGTCGTTCCCGAATTTGCACTAGTCCAATGCTAGTTGTGGCTCTTTGTTCGATTTCTCATTAGTCCAACGCTAGTGAGAAAGTAGAAATATGGGCTAATTCAACGTTAGACCCTTAGGAGCCCTTGGCGCATTAGATCACGATTGTATGTTAAAACCGCTTCATTTCATGCATATTTTTCACTTTTCTAGGGTCTTTTATCATTTTGCATGATATACCCCTTGTACATATAGCCCTTATCCCTAAATTTCCCATATATATACCCCTATGTATGATACATGACATTAGAATTGCATTTCATTTTTTAGAAATAGGATTAGGGTAGTGCATTTGCTTGATTAGATTAGGAAAACCCCTTGAATATGGGATATGGACGAGTTTGGTTTTCTAGCCTTAGCACGCTCGTATTCCCTCTATTAAAGGGAAAATTGAGTCACGAACATTAGTCCCCCGTACCCGACATGATGCACTCCTTTAAGACATGTATATTTCTATAATTATTTTATCTTTTTTTTTCTTTTCTTGGAGTCCCATATTTTTGCATCATTCGTGACTTCTCCAAAGAGTCACTATTGGGCGTCACAATTAATGTGATTGGCACCATTCAAGTTTTGAAGAGAAATTTTGACCCCCCGATACCCACCTAGGTCTAGGGTTTGCATCCATATAGTACATCCAAATGTGATAAATTTTTAGGATAAATTAAGAAAATCTTTGGCTAAATCAAGCAACTAGTCTTGGCTAGGTCGAAAAGGGTGACTCGGATTTTTATCCTTGCCTTCCCTTTCTTCAAATGTAACTCCCGAACCTTTTTCTTTGATTTACGTAGACTAGGAGTCGTTTAAAAAGGTTTTTTCTACTTTTTCTTTTGAAAAATTCATTTTTAGGTGACTTGGTACACCTTAACTCTATATCAAGTGGTGACTCTGATTTTTATTTCAAAAATCCTTTTTAAACTATATTTTGGGTCAAATCGTCGCATTTTCATGTCCCATTTAGACCCATGTTTTTCATTTTCTTTTTAAATCCAAAATTCATTTTCCAACCAAAAATCAATCAAAAGTCATTTTCCTAAACTACTTTATTTATTTTTCTTATAAAAATGGGGCGCGACAATCACCATTAAAAATGTAACTTATGAGATTTATGTCTTGTTTTTGTAACCTATGTAATGATTAGGTTTTAAGAATTTATTTATTAAATTTTGACTATTATACAATGAACTAGACCTTTTTCAAATTTTGTAACTGAAAAATATGACACATTTATTCCATTTAATGGTGGTATTCTAATACTCCTAAAATTTTACCCCATAAATAGAGGCACTATCAACCAAGTTTGATACACCTTTCTTGCTATTTCAAAAACTATCTTCCTCTCACTTCTATTGGGCATTAGTTAGGTGTTGAGAAGAGCTTTAGCTTCTCTAAATTGTATAGATTTAGTAGAAGCAACAGCAGAGGCTGGGCTGTTGAATCCCAGAGGCGACGTGCTATCAACCTTCTACACCGGGTATAATCCCAAGAGGGACGTGAATCGTCTTAAGAGAGCGACCTAGTCCGTGCCTCACCTAGCCAAAATTACTTTATTTCTCTTCCTTTGACTTTTGTTTTGCAGGTTGATCGTGCATATCAAGTTCTAAAGGAACAACAATTGTACATTCGCAAGGATTAAATAATTCAATTGTAGGTTTCTCCAGGAAATTTTGAGCCTCATATGGAGAAAAGGATCAAGGTTTGTTTTTTATTCTATGGTGATAGACGATTTAATACTACCACGCAACATTGATTGCCATAGTTTGAGAAGGTAAAGCCTGAATAAGAATATGGTTTTCAACCGCTTGGGTGAGGTGGCGCTAGTGGCAGAAGAGCCCCTAGTGGTAGAAGATTACTTGGTGATGAATGAACTCGAGTTTGACAGCAGTGCCATTGTGGCGAAGAAGAAGATTAAACATCTATATCAATCTCCCATGCATAAGGATTTTGAATTAGTTACTTCAGAGGTTTTGAAAAGTTCCACGGTTTTGACTATTCTAATATTGCATTCTCAGTACCATACTCATACTTCTATTTATTTGCCTTCCGACCTCTTCTGCCATCTCAAGCATTTGAGAACCTTGCACTTGCATCAACTGAATATAACTCATCTACCTGGTTCAATTGGACATATCGAATATCTATGCTATTTAACCAAAGTTGATTTCCTTCATTTGCTAGAAACACTAAAATTAAAGGGTTGCATGGAACTTTGTGAATTACCCTAAAATACAAGGCATTCGACCAGTTTGTGCCATCTTGATCTTAGCGTCCTTTAGCAATTCACGTGTATGCTTGTAGGTTTGGGATGCCTAACTTGCTTACAAACTTTGAGCGGATCCCCGGTTGGACAAGATGATGGTTATTGTATCGGAGAGTTGGAAAATCTAGTTAACCTTGGTGGTTCATTCTACATATCAAGTCTGAAAAATGTGGCAAATGTAGATGAGGCCATGTGACCTAAATTCAGCAACAAAAGATACATTGTCAGATAAGAATTTCGTTGGTGTGATGCTCATGAAGATGGATTTCAAGTTGAAGCGGAGATGTTAAAATGTCTCAAACCACATTTTGGCCAGAAAGAGTTGAAAATAGTGTTCTTCAATGGTTGTAAATTACATTCCTGGATTAGCAATCCTTATTTTTCTCAATTGGTTGACATTAGTCTTTTCTAGTGTAGAAATTGTTCTTTTTTACCATCACTTGGCAAATTATCATCCATACATTTCTTAAGATATATGGAATAAATGAGATAACTGTTATTCCACACATTCTATTGACATTTAAGGAAAGGTTCATCAATTTGAATAAGCTTTTCTCATAGTCTACCCTGTTCATGTTACCAACTGAATATGAATTTTTATATATTAGGGGAGAACACTTGTATTTTAAGGGAAGAGAAGGAAATCAGGAGTGTTGTTTTAGTCTAATGTAAAAATCATTGTCAATAATCAGTTGACAATGATTTTTATGGAATATTTCTCTTGGAACATCTGTTCAATCATTCATATCTTGTTTTGAAACAAATATATTAATTTGGCTAGGTGTAACTATCAACTATGCTCATTAAAAGGCTCAACACCTTGTTTGGTATCAAAGCGTTGTGGTTTTATATTGGCATCTCTACTTGGTACTTATTGGCTTTTACATTACAAAACTAATAGTTCACAAAAATCTGCAAGGACTTACCTTTTGCACATTGTAGGGAAGAAGGAATCTCTTGGAGCAGATATATAGTTTAAAAGTGAATATAATGTGAAAACTGTTGGAACCTACCCCAAAATTATGAATAACCTGACTGCTATGCAACAACATTTCTTGTATTCAAGCTACAAAACCTTGGAGGAGTTTCCAATTGTTAAAACTCACAAATTATATTTTGATCAAGAACTTAACATTGCAATAATACAAAACTGATTATATGACCCCACTTTTTCACCATTAAATTTTAGACAATTCCTACCCTCTAATATGTGTATATCCATTGCATAAAGCAGCTATTGAAGATCAATTTCTCACTAGTTTTACTGAGAATGATAGAAAATCTTGTGTAAAAGGGGTTTTGTTGTGCTTCTATGAAATCCTGATGGGTTGCGAGGACTTTTTATGAGCAGACTGGAACTCACATCCATTAAGCTTTACTTGTCTAGTTGATTTATTTGAGTGGGATTTCAGTTATGATTTCAGTACTGATCTTCTTGGCTGACTGACTGGGGGTTATTGGAGCCACCTAGAACTCTTATCAATAGGTAGATGTCATCAATTTTGCTAAACCAATCTACTTGATTTGACTAGCTCTTATTATCTACCAAGTTCGAACAAGAAAGTTGATGGTGTCTTATATATTTTTCTGCTTCTCTCAACCTGATTTACATCCATTCTTCCATCTCCATAGTATGAGAAATGTGGTTCATGGAGATTAGTTTTGATCTTTCATTTTCATTATTTCGAGATAATTCACCAATCTTTTTCTAAAACTGCTCCAGGGTACTTTGATGTTTTCTATTTGCTTTTGAAATTTGTTTCCTCAACTAGTCTAAACGTGGTTTTCTGTTTCCCCTTAAACAAACTTTTTTGTTTTTAAGCTTTGAGGAGTAGATTATTATTGAGAATATACCCCTTTAAGCTTGTTTAATTTAAGTTTACAACGTTGCATGAAAATCTTTCCCATTCATTTGACACCTCAATTGCATTAGCTACTTGGAAATGGTAGCATGTAAAGAGTTGGAAGTTATGATGCATTTCCGATTTTAGATGATAATGACAATCAAAGACTGCCTCCATCTTAAAGAACGATGAACTTGTCCAAACGGTAAAAATTGGTAGTCTGCGACAAGGTAGTCTGCGCTAAATTACCTGATCGTCTTCATTATCCTCACCTCTACTCTCTTGTTGTAAAGCATATGATCCATGGTCCTTGTGGAGACATGGATAAAAATAGTCCCTGTATGAAAGACGGTTCCTGCAAGAATCACTATCCAAAAAAATTTTTCCCTCATACAACCCATGGTGAAGATAGTTACCCATATTATAGAAGAAGGGATGATGGCAAGAAAGTGAAAGTTCACAGATTCACCCTTGATAATAGGTCGGTTGTGCCTTATAACCCCTATCTTCTTGCTTCGTTCGATTGCCACATGAACGTGGAGATTTGTTCTACCATTAAACTGGTCAAGTACCTGTATAAGTATAGTGTTCAAGGGACATGATCTGGTCTCCTTTAGGATTATGACGGATGATAGTGCTACTGATACTGACGAGATTAAAGAGTTCCAAAAAGGTAGATACATTTCACCTCCGGAAGCATTTTGGCGCATCTATGAGTTCCGTTTAAATGAGATGACCCTATCTGTATATACTCTCCAAGTTCACCTTCCAAATCAGCGGCTTGTTTCTTTTCCGAAGAACTCAGATTTGCTACAATTGTTAGCAAAAGTTGATTTTTCTAAGACCATGCTAACTGAGTTTTTCAAGATGAATGCAACCAATGCAACCGCTGAAAACCTTAAATGCTTTTATAAAGATTTCCCTCAGCATTTCATTTGGTCTTCCAAGTATAAACACTGGGCGGAAAGAAAGTCTCGAAAGGTGATAGGTAGACTTGTCAGTGTTAATCCAAGAGAAGGAGAGAGGTACTATCTAAGGCTTCTCTTAAATCATATTCCTGAACCGATATCATTTGATGATCTCTTGACTGTTCATGATAAAAAAAATGAACTCGTTTAGAGAGGTTGCTCTAGCGCTTGGGTTGTTGCAATTTGATACGTACATAGAAGAAACACTTGAGGAAGCCGCTGCATTTCAAATGCCATCTTCGCTCAGATTATTATTTGCTACTCTTCTGGTCTATTGTTCTCCAACTGATCCCACGATGTTGTGGAAAAAATTTGAATTCGACTTTTCTAGAGATTATCAGCGGCACAAACAATATCATGACCACTCTCCTGCTAAATTAGGGGATTGGTTATTGCTGATATTAACAAATCTCTTCAGCAGATGGGTACAAGCATTGCTGCGTATCAGTTACCATTAGATGAGCTTGTTAGTATGGATTAAGTTCACCTAACAAAAGAGATAGAGGCTGAAAGAAACATAGACATACCACCGGAAGATCTGCTAATGTCTTTAAAATTAAATTCCCAGCAAAAGTATGCTTATGACATGATCCTAGAAGCATGCTTTGCTTCCCAAGGACATTCTTTTTTTATTGATGGTCCTGGAGGTACCGGTAAAACATTTTTATACCGGCTGCTACTTGCTACTTTGAGATCGCAAGGTTATATAGCCATTGCAGTAGCAACCTCTGGAATTGCGGCGTCTATCCTACTAGGAGAAAGAACTGCACACTCAAGGTTCAAGATACCTCTTGATTTCTCAAAGAATAGAACCTGTCAGCTTAGCAAGCAAGGCAGTGTTGTAAAGCTACTTTCGGAGTCTAAACTGATCTTGTAGGATGAAGCTTCCATGGCAAAACGAGAAACCATTGAGGCATTTGATGATTTGCTTAGAGACATAATGGAATTTGAATTGCCTTTTGGAGGTAAAGTTATTGTATTTGGTGGAGATTTTCGGCAGACACTACCTGTTATTGAACAAGCAACAAAGGAAGTTCTTTTGCAGTCATGCTTTCTCAATTCTCCATTGTGGTATAAGCTTCATAAACTGAAGTTAACAGGAAACATGCGAGCTATATTAGATCCTCAATTTTTTGAATTCCTATTAAGAGTTGGCGAAGGGCATGAACCTATAGACTTGAACAGCGAAATAACTTTGTCAGAGATTTAGTCATTCCTTATTACGATAAAGAAGAATCTTTAAACAGGTTAAATGACTTAACATTGGCCTGTTTTATCCATCTGCTCTTTAGTGTATACAACTTATAATTTAAATTCTTTATTAACAGGTTGCTACACTCTGTATTTCCAAATTTAACTCTCTATTCCCAGGATCCGTATAGCATGATTAATAGATGTATTCTTACCCCTAAAAATAACTTGGTTGATGAGCTGAATGATATAATGATTAGAAGGTTTTCTGGAGAGCTTCACACTTACATTAGTTCTGACAAAGCTATTGATTAGCGGCACCAAGGTGATTATGAGGATTTCCTTAATTCTCAGAATCCAAAAGGTCTTCCTC